GCTCCGACACTGGACCCTGACGGGAGCTCAGGAGGGGGATGAGGTGGTGAAGCGGAACAGTTCCATCCCCTCAGTGAGGACAGTGAAGATGGAATTCCAGGGACAGGGGGGATAAGGCACTGTGCAAATGGAGACATGAACCAGCAGCAGCTCCTTGGCGCCAGTGGGCTCCAGCCAGCTCTTCTGGAGCGGGTTCAGCGACGGAGACAGCAGAAAGTAATCTCTCATTAAAAGCTGTTGCTGCTTCATGGGAGCGCAGCTCTTGTGCTCTGCCCTTCGTTTAGAGAGGTACAAGAGCTGAGGGAGCTGCAGAGCAGCCAGCTTTATTTTAGCACCCAGCAAATTGGCTGGGAAAATGCTTAAGCTGGTGTGGAGATGCCTGTGCTCCAGAGTGATGGATTAAGAACAGCAGCGCGTGGCGGCTGCACAGGAAATCCAGTTTAATCGGCGTTGGGTTTTCCTGCTTTTTCAGGATTGTGATAAGGTGTTTGGGAGGGCAGCTGGGACCTGAATTATCAGATTTCTTCAGGCAGCCTCAGACAGATGCCCAAGTTATGGGGAAGCTGTAGAGGCAGGAGCTGCGGGAGGAAAGGCCAAGCTCCGGGGGGGGCTTTCAGCTTTCCTGGCTGGAATTGGGTGACTCTTGGTGTGAACTGGCTGGAGGAGCCTGATTGAGCTCCCCGTGTGCTCCTTCCTCAGACAAGAAGCTGGTGCTGGTGCTAATCACACGCTTGGGGCTGTTTGTCCTCATGGGACCTCTGTTCCCTGGGGGCAGCCCGGTGCCAAGGGCAGGGTTAGGGCAGGTCGTTGGCAGGCTGCAGGTATGTGGGGCTGGGGGTGAAGGGCAGCCCCTCTGCCCCCCCCCACTGGAGGATCCTGCTTGCCCAGGATGGGGGCTCCGGGGCTGGGCTGTGGCTGCCGGATGAGGGTTTCATTGCTCCCGAGCAGGGATCCGGTGCTGAGCTGGTTCTCCTGAGGCCAGCAGCGAGCACGCAGACAACTGCTGCCCAGATCTGCTGTCCTGCTGTCGGGAGCCAGTTAAGGAAAGGGTTGCCATATTTGATTACATGTGAGTCTAACGTGCGGGTGGAGCAGCACCGCGGCTGCTCCCAGCCTCGCTCTTGGCTCAGCAGTGCTGCAGCCTTTCTGGGGAAACACAAACACAACAAGGGGGGGGGGGGGAAGAAAGAAGAAGGAATCACACTTGCATGGAGAGCATCAGCCTGCAGCATCAGCCGGTGCCTGATGGGTCCGGAGCAGAGCTGTTTGCCCTGTGGGGCTCTGACAGGTTTTGCTGCAAGAGAGAGCAGGAGGAATTTGAGGTGAACACACAAACCCTGGTAGGAGCAGGGGCTGGCAGAGGTCACAAGGGGTTGCTGCAGCAGAAGACCGGTGGGTGGGTGGATGGATGGATGGATGGGCATTGTTGGGTTTTATATGCCCTGTAACACTTCAAGGCAGTGGGAGCTGTGTTGTCCACCTCTGCAGAGGCTGGTGCTTTGCTGTGCGCAAGGTGCACTGACCTGTCACCATGAAATGGTAGCAAAGCCAGATGGATCTGGGACCAGGGGTTTAGCATCATAAGTGCATTTTTACACTCCCTCTATGCTAATGCATGCAGAGCACTGAGAATCACATTCTCAATAAAGCTATCCCGTGTCTGGCATTGGGGGGAGCTGGGTGCTCCTTGGGCTGTGCTGTGGGCAGGGGCAGGAGGACCCACCTCAAGACATAGTTATAGCCAAGCTCAGGAATTGAAATCATGGCTGTTGGTTTTAAACACAGATACAATGAGTTGCACTGATTTTAGGTATCTGAACTCCATGGCATGGGGCTTGCATGGGGTGGGTGGGTGAGCAGCAGCATCTGGCACCAGAGGCTGTAGGGAGACCACAAGGAGAAGGAGGAATTTTGGGCTGCCTGAAGGTGGTCAGAGGCATCAGGGGGAATTTTGGGCTGGCTGACCCTGTCCCTAGGTGATGTGCACCGGAATGTCTCTTCCCAGGTAGTCAGGATGATGATGTGAGCAGCATCCCCTCCTGCTGGTCTTCTCTCCTTTTCCTGGTGGTGAACCTCTGCATCGCTGATGATGCACCTCTGAGCTTGAGGTAGCAATGAAGCACGTTTGGCTTTGATCTTGTAAAAGCAGTAACTGGGGAGAGGCAGTAAGAGAACCTTTGTATTGAATGACCCTTGGCAGGGCTTGCTAAGGATGCCCCATGCGGCCCTGGAGTTCCCCGCACTTGTGCTGCTCCCAGCCTGCATGTGGGATTCAGAGCCTCTCAAGTGAACTGTGACTGTGGCTTTGCCTGTGGGCTGAGAGGTGAGAGTGGGGAGGCACGGAGCAGCACATGGGGTGGTGTGTGTGACACCCATGGGGAGGTGTGTGACACCCATGGGGAGGTGTGTGACACCAGTGGGTCTGTGTCTGTTTGACACCCATGGGGAAGTGTGTGTGACACCCATAGGGATGTGTGCGTGACACCCATAGGGATGTGTGTGTGACACCCACGGGGAGGTGTGTGACACCAGTGGGTCTGTGTGTGTTTGACACCTGTGGATCTGTGTGTGTGACACCCATGGGGAGGTGTGTGACACCTGTGGGTCTGTGTAGGGAGGGCAGGTCACAGTGATGCAGACCTCCAGCAGCACGGTGCCTGCTGGCAACCGCATAAAGCTGGTCATTGCTGCCGTTGTGCCGAGCTCAGGCACGCTGTGGGTGCACTGGAGGGATCCTGCTTGTCTCCGTGTGTTGTGCAGTGGGAGAGATCCCGCTCCAGTGTTCCCAGAGCAGAATCTGGGTTTGTAACATCAGTGCTGTGTTAAACCGCCGGTGCTCGCTGTCACAGCCCTGCCCGGCTGCTGGGGATGTGGCCAGGGCAGCCGGATCTGTGGGCACAAGCAGCATGCAGGGCTGTTTGTAACCCGTGTTAATGTTTTATAGTGCTTGTGCTGAGGGAGTTGATGACTCTGGAGCGAGCAGATTTTAATCTAATCAGCTATTCCTCGTGCCACGCCAATCCCGGACATCAAAGGGAACATCAAAGTGGGAGGCATGAAAGGCTTCAGCGGCAGCATCGGCTGTGTCGCCCAGGTGCAGGAGCCGCTGCTCCAGCCGCTGGTGAGGCTCTGCTCAGCTGCGTCACATCTGAACGGTGCTGTCCCAGGAAGGAAAACAGGGTTCCCGCAGGAGGGGCCCTGGGGAGCGAGGCAGAAGCCTGGTTACACGCTTTGCATCCGTTTGTGGCCCTGGAAGCAGCAGAGCCGGGTGGGAGTGCATGGGAGTGCTTCGTGGGGACAGCCCTGGAGAGGAGCAGCAGTGCTTAAGGTTTAAAGCACAAGCAGCAGGAGGAAGTGTGCGCGGGCTGCCCAGTGCTGCGGTGGTGATGGGGGGACATGGATGTGCTGCGGGAGCTCCTGGTCCCACAGTGGGGCAGGGATGGCTGCTGCAGCCAGTGCAGGTGGGACCACGGCCGGATGCGATCCCTCCTGCCACATTCCCATTGCTGAGATGGGCTCTGAGGCTTGGGAAAGGCACCAGGGGCTGCGGAGAGGAAGCTCTTGGGAGCCTTCACGCTCTGCAGCTTCTGTGGATGCAGCTGATCTTCACTGTGTCTCTTGGGGGAAGGTGGGGAGAGAAAAATGTGTATCTACATAAATATGTGCAAGGCTCACTCAGGCAGGCCCTGATAAGGCTGCTGCAGCATCACCATATCTAATATCCAATTGCTTAATTTTATAAGCCTCTCGAGCTGGCGCAGGGAAGAGCTCAAGATCTCCTCCAGGCACTGGTGAATCCCATGCCAGGCGGATGGGAGGAGAGGCTGTGATAGGCAGGGCGGGCACGGGCAGGTCCCGGCAGGGCACCCCAGGGATGCACCGATCCCAGGCGCTGGCACGAACCGGCACTGGGCAGGGTTGGCCAGTCCCTGCCATGCTGGGATTGCTGCTGGCACCGTGTACTGGTGAGGCTGGAACCAGCCCTGGAGCATGTGTGGGCATCGCTCAAGGCCCTGGAGCTGCTTGACAGGAGGAGCTGGATCACAGGATACCTGCCAGTGGTGGGACCCACTGATCCTGCCATGGGCTGCAGAGGGGCTGTCGATGTGTGCCCCTGTGCCCACTGCAGCCGGGATGGGAAGGGAGCTCAGTGCCTGCTGGGTGCATGGAGGGGACAGTGCTTGGGAGCACGTGGGGACAAGGGCCAGCTCTCAGGGTGCTGCAAACCAGAGCTTGGGAGCAGCGTGACAGCGGGTCCGGTGACTGCAGGGAGCCCGTTTCCAGCCTCAAGCAGAGGGAGTGATCTGGAACAGGAGCATGTTTGCCTCCCGCTGGAATTGGTTCCGGCATCCCTGGCTGTCGCTGAGGTGCAGCAGAGGACAGTGGAGGTGGGACTCCGCGGGCTGTAATTTCCCTGCTCCTTCTTCCGTGCCCTGCTCCAGCAGGCGGCACAGCGCGGGGGGACAGTGCGTTGGAGCTCCCTTCCTGCTTTGCTCAGTTCCCAGGACACAGTTCACGTTTCTCCCTCCACCAGAAGGAGATGGAACCATGTGGCTGCTGGAGGGGACAGCCGGAGCTGTATCTTTGCCGTGCAGCGTAGCCTTTCCATTCCACACAGAAGCCAGCACGCTCCCCCCGCTCCTGCCTCGTGCTTGAGAGAAGAAACAAGAAATCATGTGGTTTCTGCTGGGTTTGGCTTCAGCCTCGCTCTCCAAATCCTCTTCTCGGCTGGGCTGCAGGGTGATGGGAGCAGCTTCCCACTGCCCCTTGCCCTGAGCATCTCTCCTGCCCTGCAGCACCCCTGGGTGCTGCTCTGAGCCAGCGGCTTGGCTCGGGTGGGTGGTACCACAGCTTGTCACCACGGCAGTGGGCTCGTGTGAGTCTGGCTGGGCTGTGTGACAGCATCGGGGTGCTTCAGAGGTGATACGTCCAATGTCCCCTGGCTGGCTGTTTCTGCCCTGGAGAGCCTCTGTCTGATACCTTTGCTCTTGTCTCTGCAGGTACCAGCCCACCTTCCCTGGTTTTTGATGCTGAACCCGGATCGTTTTAACTAAAGATGGAAACACTGGAGTCAGAATTGACCTGCCCAATCTGCCTGGAGTTGTTTGAGGACCCCCTCTTGCTGCCGTGCGCCCACAGCCTCTGCTTCAGCTGCGCCCACCGCATCTTGGTGTCCAGCTGCTCTTCCAGTGAGTCCATCGAACCCCTCTCTGCCTTCCAGTGCCCCACGTGCCGCTATGTCATCTCCCTCAACCACCGGGGCCTGGAGGGCCTCAAGAGGAATGTGACCCTGCAGAACATCATCGACCGCTTCCAGAAGGCATCCCTGAGCGGGCCCAACTCCCCCAGCGAGAGCCGCCGCGAGCGGACGTACCACAGCAGCCCAAGCATGTCGGTGGCCAGCGAGAGGATCGCCTGCCAGTTCTGCGAGCAGGACCCGCCACGGGACGCGGTGAAGACCTGCATCACCTGCGAGGTGTCCTACTGCGACCGCTGCCTGCGCGCCACGCACCCCAACAAGAAGCCCTTCACCAGCCACCGGCTGGTGGAGCCCGTGCCCGACGCCCACTTCCGAGGGCTCACGTGCCTGGAGCACGAGAATGAGAAGGTGAACATGTACTGTGTCGCTGACGACCAGCTCATCTGTGCCTTATGCAAACTGGTGGGGCGCCACCGGGACCACCAAGTGGCATCCCTCAGTGATCGCTTCGAGAAGCTGAAGGTAAGTGCCTGGCGAGGCGTCCTGGGGCTGCTGGTGGCTGCGGATGGTGCTTGGAGCAGGGGCTGGCGCCAGCAGCACCAGCACCTCTTGCTCACGGCAAACAGCTGGAGATGCGCAGGGTGCAGCTCATGGGCTCCTCCAGGACCATAGTACTGGGAGGCTGAGCTGGGTCTCATTTGCGCAGTCAGAGCAAAGGCTTTGCTGTTTTGTTTTCCTCCCAGTGCGTGTGTGCCGAGCCGTGGCCCCGGCCCTTCTCCCCAGTGTCACCGGTGCCCTGCGGCTTTGCCCTGTCCTGGGAGGGCTGAGGTGTAGAGGGGTGGCATGGGGGACCCACCATCGTGGTCCCCTCAGGCTGCTGTGCTCAGGCTGTGCCTGTGCAGCCTTCCCAAAGGATGGGAGCAGGATGTGGGCATTTCCTTCAGGCTGCTGTGTGGGGGAACCCTTCTGCTTTAGCCATGCCTGAAGATCGCTGTGCCCTGAGGAGTGCTCTGGAGGGCACTTCTGTGCCCTCCTCAAGCAGATTGTCCAAGCTGCTCCACTGTGTGAGGAGAGGCTGGGCACCAGGAGCCCTGGGGTTGGATGGGCTGGGAGCAGCCCTGCATTGGAGGACTTGGGGGTGCTGGTGTGAGGAGAACAGGACAGCAGCAGCCACACATGCTCATGGGAGACTGGTGGGGATTTGGGACTGCTGAGGATCCCCGTTGTCCCATTGCCTTTGCCTCCTTTCCACCTGTTTCCTGCCAGGAGCAGTGCTCCCATCGCACAATGATCCATTGCAGGAGCCTGTTCTCCACTACAGCCCTGATTTCCTCCCGGCTGGAGTGGCAGACACAGGCAGTGGTCCTGCCCCTCCGCTTGCAGCACATATTGATCCAGGCGGAATGGCTGTTCTGCTGCTCCTCAGGTAGGAGAGAGCAAACTCTCAGGGATCCCTCCGGAGTACTCAACTTCATTCGTATGCCGTGCCTGTGCTGAACGTGTTGCGAACCTGGGTGGGTGAGGTTTGACCTATATACAGGTAGAAATCCCTCTCCACCCCCCGTGCGTTCACATGAGTCTGCAGGATGCTTTTCATTCTCTTTTCATTTGATAGTAAGAAAACACGTAGCTGGTCCCGTGCAGCGCCAGGCTGGTGTGACCACCACTGTGGTAGCAATCCTATCCCTGTTATAACCCTGCTCATGTGCTTCCAGCCGCTGCTTCCTTGGTCCTTTCTCCCCTGATGTTCTGGGCTCGTTCCGACCCAAAAATCTTTTCCTGGCTCTTTGTCTTGGTAATGTTTTCAGCAAAATCGAGCTGTTTGCTCCTGTGGGCTTTATGGGCAGAAGCAATTCTTCTGTCCCTGTAGCCAAAATACAGAACTCTCTAGTTTCCTATGTGCAGACCAGATTGTTTCATCACAAAGCGATGCCTGGACAGAAACCCTCCACAGTGCCCAGCTTCCCGCTGGTTCCACTCCTGCCCTTCTCCAGACCCCCAAGCCTGACAGCCTGAGGTGGGAGGATGGTTGGTGCTGTGGGATGCTCCGGGCTTTGTTCCCACCTGTGTGGGATCTGTGTCCCGGTGGGGCTGCCCCATGGCATGGGGGCTGGCGTGTGCCGGCGGAGGAGCCTGTGCTGGTTGGTATTTGCTGTCAGGCCTCGCCTTTGCAAGCTCCTCGCCGCGCTTCCCGGTGCACGTAGCCGCGCCAGCAGCCCCATCCCTAGTCCAGGACATTCTTTTTCCATGAGGAAATGTCTCAATTAGCAAATTGGGAACCTTAGAGAGAAACGAGCGAGGATGTTTGTGCGCAGCAAAACCTGAACCCTTTCAGTCCGTTCCCCCTGAGCCGCCTGTGTCAGCCAGCCAGGCAGAGCCAACAGGAAACACAGACCTCTGCCAGCCCCAAGTGTGGCCGCAGCCAGCCCGGTTCTGCGGGGTGCCAGAATCCTGCGTTTGTCCCTTTTGAAATAACAGCCTTAAAAGCGGTTTTGGCCATGAAGGGAGCTCTCTGCATGCAGCTTTCTTCCGGTGCTGTCAACCCGGGCTGGGAGGAGGGAGCGGGTGGCTGTGGTGCCTTGGGTCTGCAGGGATTGCTTCCTCCTGGTCCTGGCTGCTCCATAGGGACGCTGGTTATGTGTCTGTATGTAACCCCTGCCTCCAGCTGCGTGCCCATCGGGCATGCTCTGGGCTGCTCTTTTCCTACTGCTCTCCCCCAGCTGCAGCACTTGCACGGGATCAATGCCGAGCTCTACCAGCAGAATCAATATTTGCATTAGTGCTTTGTGTTGTCTTCCTTGTGCAGCCTCAGCCTGTAGCTCTGGCCACAGACCTGGCAGCAGTGAAATCCTTGCAAGCGCCTGACATACTTGAGGGTGGTGGGATGCTGCTGCCGGGAACCGCAGCGAATGGAGCCGGTGCTGCCCCACGGCTCTGCACCTCCCTCCTGCCTCTGAGCTGGTGGTGGTGGACCTGCTGTTGATGCTGTTAGTGGAGTAGCTCCTGAGCAGCTGTGCTGTGCTGTGCTGTGCTGTGCTGTGCTGTACTGGGGCCATGAGCCCTGGGCTGCAACTGCTCTTCAGCTCCAGCTTTGATCCCATAGCTCAAGGGAGCTGGAAACACCTTTCAGTCTGGAGGTTTTGATGGAAAATTGGGTTTTGAAGCAAACAACTTCTTCCTGTCAAATGGCTGTGCTTCCCATGACTATCTGTTGGGAAATTCCACCCCGTCCCCCCCCCCAATTAAGGAGAGCTAAACCCCTTGTGTCTAAACCATAAACCATCTCCCAGTGCTCCCCGTCCCCTCTGAGCTGGTTTTCCATCAGACACCCCCAGTGTGTGCCTGTGGCCTGCTTTTCCCACAGAGGCTGTGCAGCAATCTGCCTGTCGCACATTACACACCTCAAGGTGCTTTGGGAGCCATCTCTAATCCCTTCAGCATGTTATGGCTTTTTATTTTGTGCGTTGTCAACTCCGCTTGTTTCTGTTGTAAAGAAGCAAGTGGTTTTCCTGGCCTGTGGTGAATCCAAGTTGTGAATGGGGCTGAGGCTTGGGACCTCCCCGCAGGTGTCACATCTTGCCCGTTCCCTTGGGATAAAGGAGTTCTGGCTGGGGTTATGCTGCTGTTCACCAGCATGTAACTCTGCACATGCAGCCCCTCCACAAAGCAGCTCCATTGCCGTGCTCTCCACCTCGGACATCAGCCCACCAGCTCCAGCAGCTGCTGGCAGGAATGCTGCAGGCACCAAGGATGCTGACGGTGCAGAGGAGCCGCAGTTGTTTCCAACCCCGGCCATCCAACACTTGGGTTTGCTGTGGCGAAAACATCCCCATCTTTTGAAGGCAGACAGGGAGGGCCTTCCCGCTTCCACCTCCTTTGCTGGGACTTGCAGCCCTGGCGCTTGAGATGAGAGATGTGAATTTGAGGGACCATGTGGGATGCCGGGGGGGCGGGCTGGAGGTCGAAGCACCAGCATCATGGATCCCTGGGAAGGCTCCTCACCAAGGGCTGTCAGCTACACGAGGGAACATATATAAAGGGGGAGTGTCACGAGGATGGAGCCAGGCTCTTCTCAGTGGCAAACAATGATAGGACAAGGGGCAATGGGTACAAACTGGAACACAAGAGGTTCCACTTAAACTTGAGAAGAAACTTCTCAGTGAGGGTGACGGAACACTGGAACAGGCTGCCCAGGGAGGTTGTGGAATCTCCTTCTTTGGAGACATTCAAAACCCGCCTGGACACGTTCCTGTGTAACCTTATCTAGGTGTTCCTGCTCCGGCAGGGGGATTGGACTAGATGATCTTCTGAGGTCCCTTCCAATCTCTAGCATACTGTGATACTGTGATACTGTGAACAGCTCTTTGGGTAGGAAAGTGCTTCGTGACAGAGGGGCTGTTCCCCAGAGCTGCTGCTGCGTGAGCCTGGCTGGGGGTGCTCAAAGTGCACCAGGATTTTGGTGCTTGTTCTCCTTCCCAGTGTCTTCGGGAAGGGTTGGGATGTTTAGCTCAATTGGTGGCAACGAACGTCTGTCGGCTGGGTTCACAGGCTGAAATCCACATTAAAGATCAAATTAAAAACGTATGGAGATTAAAAGCACAACTAATGGCTTGACCTAGATAAAGCGTGCGCGGGGACACGGTGCTCTGTGTGCTGGTCGCTGCAGTTGTAAATGCAGATGCTGGAAGCTCAGAGCTCTCTGAGCACTGCCCTGGCCCTGCCTCCGCTGTGCCAGGCACCAGGAACGCTGCAGGGATGCCCTGTGAGGGGGAGATGGCAGCAAGAACTGCTGGGACCATCTCCTCTGTCCAGGGCTTCCAGTGGCCTTAAAGACTCCCTGCTCTCTGCTTCTCCATCTGCTCTATTCCCTTTGCGGGAACAGGATAAGGGCCAGCTCAGAGGAGGCTTTTCCTTTGCTGTTGCGGAGGTTTCTGTTGATTGACAGGTTGGAAATGCCAAAAAAAGAAGAGAAAGATGTGTTTTGTAACACTTACATCCACTCTTCGCTGAAGGAAGAGCAATAAGCGGAGTGGAAAGCCCGGTGTCTGTGACGCTGCCTCCAGCGGGTTTGTGTGAGTGGGACTCAGGATTCAGGGACAACCCAGAGCTCCCCGTGCCAGACAGGCAGGAAGCTGGTAGTTACTGCAAGGCTCTGGAGAGAGTGAAGGGGTAGAAGGATGAGGAAAAGCCCTCCCTTCCTGCTGCAGTGTAGGACTTCTTCACCCTGGGACTCGTGAACGGGTTCTCACTTGCACTGTGTGAATCACTGAGATTGCTGCTTAATGTATAATGTACCGTGCTGCTGCCACAGGGCTAAACTGACTTTCCAGATGTATCTGTACGCATTTCACCACGCAGAGAAGGGTTAGCTGAGAACAGGGGTTACAGCTGCGGCTGCTGTGACTGCTACACACAGCGCAGGGCTGCACCAGCAGCGGTACAGAGGCTCTGGATGCTCTGTTGCAGCCAGACACATGTGCATGCTTCCCTCTGGACCGCTTGAGGAGGGGATGTGACTCCAC